TTTTTCGATAGATTTTGTAATCGATTTTTTATCGATTTTGTAATCGATTTAGTTAACGATTTTGTTATCGATATTTTTATCGATTTTGTTATCGATTTTATTATCGCTTTTGTTATCGATATTTTTTTCTTAGTTTGTGCTTTCGTTTTTGACTTGGATATGCTCTTAACCATACCACGTATTCTACGTTTAAATTTAGCGGGTGTATCTCCGATATAGCCTGCAGACCAAGACGAAGGCGCTGGACTGTTCCTTTTTTTTCGAGATTTTGGAATGTCATGACGAAATAAAAAAATAGGTGTCTTCTTGTTTTCGATAAAGAATGTAAAAAAATATATTTCACCCCAAAAAAAAAATATTGAGGTGTAAATATTGTATGGAATCACCCATATATATATATATAAATAAAACAAGCTTCAAAAATGTTGGATTACCTGGAATATGCAAGACTATATGTCCGACTTCCTTCAGCTGTGTTATATCGTCCGGATTGCCGTAGAAGGGCCTTTGAAATTCGTATTCAGGAATGTCCAGTTTGACACAACTTGCCAATACCTCATCAAAAGTTGGTGGCAAATGAATAGGTGTAAGTTGTACCAAATGCTCCGATAAACTCGATGCAGGCTCCGATATTAGCGGTGACACATTACTCTTATTAATATTACTTGTTGCTATTAGTTTTTGTTCTGCACGGTTAGCGTGACCGATACGTTGGCAACATTCCAGCGAGTTAATCGGCTCTTCTCTGAATATCTGATTTGATGAGTGGATTTGGCGTGCCAAATCTATGACGTGACTAGAGCCGTCACTATAATTAAGTGGGCTACTTAAGTCTTCCGTAAATGAAGCATCATAAAAGCTTTGAATATGCAAGTTATCAATGTCTGCATAGTCATCATCAATTCTAACATCCGTTGTTGGGGAAGCAGAAAATTCATTAATTTCATCGACTCCTTCAGCTGGTTCATGAATGTAATTGTTTGAAACGACCTTGTTTTTGAGCATCTTCTTTCGCTGTACCAGATGAAAGCTCCTCCGGAGACGTTTCGCGCCGATTGAGTTAGTGTCATCCTCGATATCTGATGCCGCAATTTCGTCACTTTCGTTTGACTCATTAAGAGGATTTGCGGTATTCTCTTCAAGCCACAATTGTGCGTCATTTTCTTTTAAATTATATTCATGGCCTGTAGGAATGGAAATGCCATTTGTTGGTTGCTGTTGTTTAAGCATTGTAATTTGTTTCTCTTTGCCGCCCCCTTTGCCAGCTACTTTCTTTACCGCTGCAGGATTCTTCGGACTAACGCCATTTGTTTGAATTACAGTTCTCCTAAGTTTTACTACACATTTTCGAATGTTGAGTGACTGAGTTCTTTCGGTTACACATGGATTCCCGGGTTGAATTTGCGAAGTCGTAGAACTATACCGGCTAACAGTTCGACTATCATCAACGAGCCGTGTACTCTTTCTGGTGGTATTTAGCCCAGCTGTTTCTTTTATATCACGCGGACTATTCGAATGTGATGTTTCAGTAACAGAATTGGGTTCATAATTCTGACATATACTTTGAATTTGATTGGCTGGCGGTTTAATTTCCTTCGATACTGCTTCTTCAATGCTATAGACTTTTAAGATCCGTTCACTTTTTCTCCGGGGTGTTAACTCGCAGGTAATGTGCGTTCTGTCTAAGTCCTTAGTATTTCTAGAACGTCGAATAGGTGTGCTGCAACATTGAAAAATAAATGAAAACCAATATTGATAAAATAACCATAGGAAGNCTGAACTTGGTTGACATGTGGTTTCAACAAGATGGCGCTACATGCCACACAGCTCGCGATTCTATGGCCATTTTGAGGGAAAACTTCGGAGAACAATTCATCTCAAGAAATGGACCGGTAAGTTGGCCACCAAGATCATGCGATTTGACGCCTTTAGACTATTTTTTGTGGGGCTACGTCAAGTCTAAAGTCTACAGAAATAAGCCAGCAACTATTCCAGCTTTGGAAGACAACATTTCCGAAGAAATTCGGGCTATTCCGGCCGAAATGCTCGAAAAAGTTGCCCAAAATTGGACTTTCCGAATGGACCACCTAAGACGCAGCCGCGGTCAACATTTAAATGAAATTATCTTCAAAAAGTAAATGTCATGGACCAATCTAACGTTTCAAATAAAGAACCGATGAGATTTTGCAAATTTTATGCGTTTTTTTTTAAAAAAAAGTTATCAAGCTCTTAAAAAATCACCCGTTATATATATTTTAAGACTGCCGACGGACATGCGAGTTCTTCCAATTAGCAAATGCAAGATTTTATTTCACAAGATATGGCTTTAAATGCAGTGCTTTAATAACACCCCAATCCCAGCCTAGCTCTATTGAAGAGTTTTAAAAAATCGATAATTACCGTTTCACACTTCCGCTTTCTTCGTTTCTTGAAATATGCTGTTGCTGCATTGTACTTGGACTCCAATCGACACTTTTTCGACGCAATGCCGTTATTGCCAGCTTTTTACTCAGAGTAATTTTCGCACTGAAATAATGTGACCGTTATTTTTTCATTTAACTACAATTTATCTGCAGTGAGCAAACCTTTTAGAGACGCTAGAACCGATATCTAAATTTCTCATAACTGAATGCCGTACTGGAGTTATTTCATTGTCCTTATTTTCGCTCTCTTAAATTAATTAAAAAAATTTAAAAACAGTAACTAAGCATTAAAAATTTTAAATTTGTAACCGCTCACTTACTGTCAGTCTTTTTGCAAGTGATTTTTAGCGGTAATGGCGCATATTTCTTGCTTGCGCTCGACTTTGGAGTGCGCGGTGATCGCTTCGGTGAGAGATTCCCTCGGCTAGGGGTCCTTGGCGTACATGGGGATGTTTTCACATTTTTACTGTTACCCTCTCTCAGTCGACTTCCAGTTTTAGTAGGAGTTTTTGGTACCAAATCATCCGAGCCATCCACTTGAGGAAAATCTATCCTAGATCCTTCTTCTTCTGTTGGTTGGCTTTGTGTAAATTTTAATATTAATTCCTCCATGTTCTCTAAGGCAATGGAAAAGTCAAGGGGATTCCCATTTTCATCTTCATTGGAATCGGTGTCACTATCTGGAAAAGGTTGACTGACAGCTGCTGCTCCCACATGCTTATCTAATAACTCCGGTGAGGGATTAACTAAATACAAGTTGATATATTTATTTTTTTTTTTTAAGTGAAAATATTAGGGCATTAAGATGTGAATTTTTTCATATTCTAAAAAAAAAATGTGGCTATTTTGAAGCTTACATTTTTTATGTGCCTGTGTGAGTGGTGCTAACGTACTATCCAAGTCGATATGATTTTC